CCCCCCCCCCCCCCCCCCCCAAGTTCAGAATTATTGAAAATGTGAAGACATTTTAACTGTTGTTATGATTGGTCGCATTCTATTAGCTTTTCTATATGGTCACTTCGGAATTAAGAAAGTTGTTGTCAATATACCAATAAATTACTGTTTTTATTTTTGGGTTAAGTTATAATTTTTTTGCTCAATTTATAACAAAAATTGAATTATTCAGATAGGTCTTAAAATAAATTATTGGGATCAATCTTGATATTTTAAGATTGATCCTGACCTTTTTTTTTATATTTTGACATCATATTTTAACTTAAGAACGTAATAAGCATGGTACCGTATCTCCTTCCATACGGAAGCCTAAACCAGGTTGAGTTGATGTTTTTGTCCTCAAACCATAATCTTACATTATGTCACTAAAACTTGCATATCCTTAATCCTTCTTTTGGGTCCAAGTCCCAGACCAAAAAAACAATAAGCTAGTTAATTTTAAGTATATTTCAACACCACACTTGTACATGCCTTGTTCCTTAGAAATCAAAATAATAGCTTTTGCAACAATGCAACTTCAAACAGTTGAGACAGATACATGCCTTCATTATCACAACATCCAAATTCAATCAAAGCTTCTGCAACAAAGCACCGAATTTGGTCGAAAGGAATATTCCAATCTCTTATTTACTAAAATAGGTAGCTTATGTAGTACAAATATGAACCTTTGGAAAGCTATTATTAGAGGTTATGCTTACAATGGTCCATTTGAGAAGTGCATATCAATGTATATGATGAAATGCCTCACAGAGGACTCAAAACCAATAATTTTACATACCCATATGTCCTAAACTCATTCTCTGAGTTGGGTTGGTTTAGAATAGGAAGAGCAGTGCAGTGCTAAATTCTAAAGGCTGTGTTTGAGTATGGTCCGGCGGCTGCCATTGCACTTTTTAATCTCTACCTAAAGACGGTTGATTCTCTTGGAGTGGGACTTGCAGAAAGTGGAAAAATAAACAATGCTAGTAAATACAACATACTCAACCAACAATTTCTCAGATTAAGTCAGTGAAGGCAGACTAATTAATAAGGAAAACGTCTCTGATGATTCAACAATTTTTTGCTGCAATTTCTTCTCAATTCCCAACAAAAAAGAAAAAAAAAGTTAGCAGTATAAAAGCTTGAGATTCATAGAATATGCAGTTTAGTGAGCCTCAACTAATAAATCAACTTGATGGTTTACATTTACCCACAAAATCCCAACCACTAAAAATTATGAAAATTCAACTCAGATCATCCAATAATCTTCTGATCAAGTGTAGTCAAACATGCCTTTCTTTCCTTGTGATCATAACGAACTTCCCAGCAAGATCATGATAAAATACCATTGATTAGCATCACATCAAATGATTTACCAATCGTTGCAAACCACCAATTCTGCCTTGCCAGCTTAGAGGAAAGAAAAATAAAACATTGGACCAAAATTTTAATCATGGTGGGAGCATAAAATAACAACAAAAAGATACTGCATATGTTATTGCTAATCAAAATATTAAGAAACTTCTAAGATGAATAAAACTACTATTGTTATGTCAACCCAAATTCCCATTGTGTTCGAAGAATTAACAAGGTTTCTTTCATAAGTAATCCTTAATAGTCTAAGCATTTCTATTTGCATTATATCATAGTTGCTATTAGAATAATCTGAATGTATACACAAGCCATTTTTATACTAAACATGCAAAAACTGAGCCATTTAACTAAAACTGTAAAGACAATTGGTCGGATTACCTTGCCTCCTCTGGTATAACAACAGCAATACAATAGAAAACTTTGATGAGAAGTTATGAAACTTAGAATAACAGCCCCAACACTAATAGGCCTAAGAAAGAAAGAAATCTATGAAAGGCAATGATACTGACATATGATGGAAAAGCTCAGAAAAACTAAAAGAAGTTGAAGTTAAACAAGAACCAAAGATTGTAGTCAATTTTGTAGCGATGCATGATGATACTTTATTCGAGAGTTCTGCAAGAATTTACATTCCAGTCACTTTATGAAGGCAATGAAAAATGTTCTCTTTTCCTTAGCTTGTCTATGCAAATATGGCTCTAAGCAAAAAATAAAATGTTCTATTTCTCGGCATAAAACTCATTTTCGATGTAATACAAAAACAAAGGCTGAATCAATTGAAAAGCAAAAGAATTGCATGTCGTAAAAATAAAAAATCTTTACCATTGGGAATGTAAGATTAAATAAAATCATACTAAGAATCTGCAGGGAAATTAAGTTAGGAGTCAAACTCCTGTCACTGCAACCATTTTTGACAGCACAACCCTACCATTTACCATTACTTTTGACTTCTGAGCCAAATCATACTGGCCAGAATTATAACTAGGCTAGCTTCTGCAAATTATAAGAATACTTCAATCAACAGACCATAAGGGCCATAAATTAATCAAATATACTTTTTCCAGCAAGAAGTCCTCTTTCCTAATTACATAATGTGGCTGCAAAAACCATTATCATAGTTGTTAAATTTGACATATGATTCAACAATATCTCCACGATGCTCCTGTGAATGATAAAGGCACAAGGATTTTTGGATGGCGAGTGAGAGTATCAAGTGTAATACAATCTCTTGGTGTCGATGCTGCTGTGTGTTCTAAAAGAATAAAAAAATGGGGGCTTGTTTGGTTTGTGTTTTAAAAAACAGTATCCGAAAACAGTTTTTGAGAAGAGTTTTAAGAAAGTGGTTTTGATATTTTTTGAGATAAAAAACTTGTTTGGTTAGATGATTTCAAAAACAATTTTACAATACAAAAAATAGAAAACCTGTTTGGACAGCCTAAATATATATTTGAACAGTAATTCAAATATTAATAAAATATTAATAAAATATTTTTATATTGACAATTTCATAATATATATATATATATATATATAAATAAATATATATATATATATACCTATATCTGAACATCCAAAATTGTTCTCCTTATTTTCAAAATTTTCAAAGAAAACTGTGAAAACAAGCTAGACTTGTTTTCTGTTTCTTTGACTCAAATCTTATTTTTTCTCAAAATTTTGAGAACAAAAATGCTAAACAAACAGGTTTTGGGTGTTTTTGAAATTTTGAGAACAAAAAACAGTTTCCGGAAAGCTAACCAAACATGGCCTGGGATTTTTGTATTATTAATAAATCAAGTTGCCCTATGTTCTAACAAAGTGAAATGATTGTCACAAGAATGCAAATGCAGACAAAAATGACTCAGCAGGCTGGCATGCTATAAAGAAATCACAATTTGGAAGAGACTGATTAGAGATAACGAAAGATACAGAATTGAATAAAGATCAGCATAAGCATGAAGTATTTCATGTGGTCTCCTATGTGAGAGTTGATGATGCAACTTAGACCACACCACACCGTTAAGTAACCATCTTTTTGTCAACTAAAAAAATTAGTAACACAGATTTTAATTGAACAGAAGTTCAGATAAGCATGGTCTAATTCATGCCTTATCCCCTAGTTAGGGGTAAATGATGAAATCTAACAGTACACTTGGCTCGCTTTATCTATCTCTCCATCTCTGCTCTCACTCCCTCAAACATAAAATAGCAAAGGCAGCTTCGCGGCGATAATCAAATTTATGGGCTGCAATAGTGTTTTTTTTTTTTTGCTATAAGCTGCAGAGCCATTTGTTGGTCAGCAAAGAGCAAGAGATTGTTGTGCACTCCACACCACCACCACCCCCGGGTCCATTTTGCATAGAACACACTATTACCTAGGAACACAATCCATTTGGAGTTTATTGCATATTGTGCCACCTCAATCTCTAAATTGCCACCTCATAGTAATTTACTAATTTTAATGAGGAAGTACACAGGTTTTGAGAAAGGAAGATGTGCGGGAGAGGGAAAGAAAGGGGGTCGAAGCTAGTCCCCATAAGAATGGTGATCAAGTCAATCATATATGAGTACGACAACTCATGGAGAAACAAACAAGAAGGTAATTTAGGCAGATGACAAAACAAAGATGGAATAGATTGTACCTTACCAGATTGAAAATTGACACAGAAACATTTACTGCAGTGTGTCGTATAAAGAATTCTGCCTGGTAAAAATAAACAAGGTAATGCTGTGAGTCATATGCCTCAAGTCCGATCTCAGATTTTTATGATTGCAAGACCTTCATTAGTACGACCGTTGGAACAAACGAAAAAGAAAGAAAATAAAACATTGATTAAATAACTATTAAAAACCCAACTCAATTGAACAAAGAACTACCCCAATTATTTATTTGAGACCGACTAAATGAATTATATTTCACCGTATTACACTATCAAAATGCATTATTTTACATAACCATAAAAAACCCATATGCCCCAAGTGACTTGCTTAACTAAATAGTTTGAAGTTTCAAAAACCTAACATATTTCTGAGTCCTTTACCCATTTGTAATTAAGGTGTAATGATGCCTGTTCTCTTACATCATAACTTGTTAATGAAATTTTGGAGATACATTGTACACAAATGAACTGAGAAGTATAGAAGCTTCGAATGTCAACAGCTATACTTAATCTAACAATCATTGTCAACAAAAATTAAACAAAGACAGCCTGTTGGAAATGGATGAATTAAGCAACAAAAAACAAGTTTATGGGTACTTACTAAAAGTTATCTGTCAATCTTTAATTGGCACCGTACATAAAAATACAGTCTGAGGAGCCATGCGGAGAGTATCGAACTCTATCGCCATTGGAATAAGCTTGAGGTCTGCATTATTGAAAATGTGAAGACCCTGTAACTGCGGTTACCAATGATCACGTTCTGTTACCTTCTCTATCTTGTCCCTTCCGAATCAAGATGGCCACTGTGGTTATATACCTCTGTTGAAAATAATGGGCCGCACATAGGACAAAGACTGAGGTTTTCAAATCATAGGGTTAAATGCAGCACTAGATCCCCGTAATTAGGGTTATTTACACGGAACACCCTTATAATTTTAACTGTTATACTCAACCCCTCAACCTAAAATAAAGTACAACAGTAGTAGATGGACGTTATAAAATTTATAAAAATATCAAAATACTCTGCCATTTAATTTTTATTTAAATATCCTTCTTCCACTTCAAACCCTTCTCCCTCGATACTTTTCATTATCTCTCTACAAACACTTTCTCAAAGCCACCCATTGAAACTCCTCCACCTCATATTCATGACTGTAATAATATTAAATGCATACAAAGACACATAATTTAAACAATTCAAACCTTCTCTCTCTATCCCTCTCTATTACTCTCTACAAACCCTGTCTCCTTTCCTTATCGAAACTCACCTACTCCACTGAAACTCCCACACCCTAGCCATATATCTCTCTCTTTGAAAATACTTCCAACAATTCAACAAAATACCACATACCTGTCAATCAAAACACAAAAAAAAAAAGAATATATGGTGGTGGTTGTGGTAGTGAAGAGAAGGCTCTAAGGTGGTGGTGGGTTGGAGTTTCTAGGTTCTTTCTCTCTCTAAAACTCCCCCAGTTGAAGGGAGAATTGCAAAGGGTGGGCCGGCGTGGGGGAGGTGCAGTAGAAGTGGACTAGGGTAGGGGTATTGCAAGTGGTGGATTTTGTTGGGAAAGGGAGAGAGGGTTTGTAGAAAGAGATGGAGGAATAGAGCGAGAAACAATGAGAGATGGCTGGGTTGGGAAAGACAGGGTCTTTGAGGGTATTTTAGGAATTATATATTATAATTTTAACACATATTATCCTCACGTGCATTTTTTAACGCGTGATTCACACACATCGTTAAATTAGTAACGCTCATCCAGTTTTGCACTTTACTAAATCAT